CGCTTATTGCGATAGAAAACACTGTAACGGTTACTACTGATTGAAGAAATATTTTTGTTTGCTTGGGGGGTAATATTAGGCCTAGGGAAGGGGGGCCCAAAAATGTGTTTTGCCTATGTCACGAACAGTGTTGGGCAGTAACGCATTACTTAGTAACATGTTACTGTAATGTGATTACTTTTTTAGTAACTGAGTAATTTAACGCGCTATAATTTTCAAAATAGTAATTAGAGTATAGTCACAAGCCAAAGTCTCTATACGTTACTGCTGCGTTACATTGCTGACAGAATGCAGTGTTTTATAATCTAGAGATCTAAAAAGGATGTAGCACACGCACTGTCGAGTCAAGTGCCAGTGGATTAGAGACCTGCTCCCGCGAGACCCGACGCAACAGACGCGGCGCGGGAGAAGATGGGCGAGTGCGGGTGCGAGCGGGTAGACACACGTGTGTGTGTGTGAGGGATGCGGGAGAATAAAATGATTCACGGGACTCCCGCACAATAGAAATATCTAAACATAAAATATCTAAAACAAATAAATTGTTATTCATCTATTGCACAAAAGCAACATGAACTACTATAAAATATAAACGATTAACAGGTGCAAGCGTGTGCAGTTTCTATTTAGGCTATAACACGTGTTTGCAGCATTGAGCAATGCAGTGCTGAAATTTGCGTGCTCATGAATCCTCTCATTATAACACACGAATTGTAGACATTATGAAAGATTCATTATGCATATATTTATTGTGTTATAACAGAGATTTGTGAGATTGTGATGAACTGAGATGTCTTTTAGAGATTATAAATGCAGCGCTCTTTGCTGGCATTCTGCCATGCCAAAGCATGCACGCAGCAGCCGCTTGCTTTAGTTAAAAATTACAGCGTTCTGTGAATGTTGATGCTTTAATAAAAAAATATTCATCGGGAGCGTGTATGCTGGGATTTCATAAATTGAATGGAGAAAAAAGTAACGTAACTAGTAATGTAACTAATTACTAATTACTTTTGAAATAAAGTAATCAGAACAGTAACGTGATTACTTTTAAAAGGAGTAATCAGTAATCAGTAATTTGATTACATTTTCAGAGTAATTTACCCAACACTGGTCACGAAAAGAGGTAAATCCGGCCCTGCTCACAATTCTGACTTTTATGTCAGAATTCTGAGTTTAGATCTCGTAATTCTGAGTTTTTGTCGCAATTCTGAGTTTAGATCTCGTAATTCTGAGTTTTTGTCGCAATTCTGAGTTTAGATCTCGTAATTCAGATTTTTTTTGTTGCAATTCTGAGTTTAGATCTCATTATTCTGACTTTTTTGTCAGAATTCTGGGTTTAGATCTCGTTATTCTGACCTTTTTGTCGGAATTCTGAGTTTAGATCTCGTTATTCTGACTTTTTCGTCAGAATTCTGAGTTTACATCTTGCAATTCTGACTTTTTTTTGTTGTTGTCAGAATTCTGAGTTTACATCTCGTTTCCGCCACAGAATTCTGTCATTTTTTCTTAGAATTGTGAGTTTTCTTTTCTGACAATTCTGAGATTATACCACGCAATTTTGACTAAATTGTGAGCTATAAACAAAGAATTGTGAGAAAAAAGTCACAATTGTGAGAGAAAAAAAAGTAATAACTTTTATTCTCCGCCTGTGGCAGAAATAAGCTTTCATACTTTATCGTGTCGTGCCTAGTTAGGAGACTGTCTACAATGGAAGTGACCGTCATGATTTATCATCATATACTATTTATTATAATGTTAGTATTGCTACAACATATAGCTAGCTGGCTTTTATGTAACCGTAGGTACTTATTTAAATAAGAAACAAAATGCATAAAACAGTGTTAATTCAAATGCACAATATTTTGAAACAGAATTTTATTTCAGGTGGATGAGGGTTATAAAGTGACTGAAGCAGATGTGCAGATTTCAGTGTAGACAGGAGCATTGATTTTAATGTGAGCGAATCTAGTTTTGATGCGTTTCTGGTGTAGACGCGGCCTGAATCCCCGAAATATTATGTCAGAGACGGAGGAAGAGTTCTCATTCACAGAAAGAAGTTTCAAAATGATTAGAAAACTTCATGTAGCACAAATATTGTCTAAAGCCGATGTGCTTTGTATATGCGTATGATTTATATTGCTTTGAGTCCTAAAGTCTGGTATATTTATAATATATAAAAAGAATAGCCATCACCATAAAAACTATTCATATCATTATGTTACGAAAAACACACATTTCGTTTCATCACCCTCCCCTCCCCCCTTTGGCACTAAAAGCTCTATTAAGATAAATATATTACTTGTAAATTTCACTTTTTTGTTTTTCATATAATTGCTTACTTGAGTAGCCTCACATTCATCTAAGCACGTTCTGTATATAAGGGAATGGTAAGAAAAGACATCTTTAGATTCCTAAAATCTTCTGCTATTCCGTCCTCATGTAATCCATGTAAAATTACTGCTATTGTTCAGGTTTGACGATAAGTCGCTGTTAAAACTTTACTAGACTTGTTGCTCTGTGCATGCCCTTGATATGTACACAATCAATAAGAACGATAAATCAAAATGATTAGAATGGCTTCATGGTGAACTCATAACTCATTCTTTAAGATTCAAAACCTAATATATAGAACGATAGATAGAATGATAGATCGATAGATAGATAGATAGATAGATAGATAGATAGATAGATCTTCAGGAAAAGAAACTGTTTAGATACATATTTAAGATTACATAAAAAAGCCCTTATGCTAGAGAAAAGTAAAATTGAAAGTCAACATGAAATGCTATTTGCAGCCCATTATAATTCTGTAATGTGACATAATTTGTACATCATTTCAGAGATGGAGCAAGTTACTTTTCTTTGGAATAACGTGCACAGATTAATTGTTTAAAATAACACCAGGAATGTGTATTAAGAAAGTAAACGGTGCATTTTCGTTCCATGTTGACTGGACCAAAATGTTGTTCATTTGATTTGTATTTTGAATCATGTAGTGATTTGATTTGATTCAGCTCAACGATGAACCACAGTGAACTATTTTGTTAGGGGTGATGTGATTCTTCCACTACCATGTAAGTACTATGGTATTCTTAGAAGTAACTTGGAGTGCCATGGTATTACCATCATCTGATACCATCAGTGTATCATGGTACCACGATCTGGGAATGAGTTTGGTCCCATAGTTAAATCTTAAAAAAAACAACAACAAAAAAAAAACATACAGATGAATCTCATGAAGTCATGTTCAGATTACATTTCAACACACCCCCCACCCCACCCCC